AAAGAACAGTAAAACGTAATGTATACAACTAACTGATCCTATTCATTATACAATCATAATGTTCCAAGTAAAATACTATTCAGTTTGGTCATTGAAAGGACAACCAATGCCCTGGTCAGTAGAAGACATGATCATCCCCTGACCCCTGTATTTCCCAGTCAACAGCACTAATTTGCACTCTATGATTTGTACATATACGGCCTTCACAGCCATCAGCGGGCCTGTAGCCTTCCATGATCTTCGGACACAAAGAACCAGCCATCATCATCATATCTTAAGGAAGTTAGTCAATGGTCCTGACGAATATATGCCTACGTATAATGTACAGCACAAAAACTCAAAATAGGATTTTTTGGCATCAATGCTTAAATGCTTGTCAGCCATGCAATGAAAGATTCAAACGTGCGTGACCTCTGACGTAAGTGGGTTACTCTTGATTTTAAATTTTATCTTCATATGACTCCTTTGATTACACTTTTAAGTTCTCGTTTTTCAATAACATATCAATGTTGGCCTTTGTTGCGGCAAGTTCTTGTTCTAAATCATCGCTTATTTCACTCGGCCCGTTCACGTCAATAGGAGGAAATATCTGTGAGTCGTTAGTCCTTTTTTCGTTTTCATTTTGCTTGACTATTTTCTTAGATCTATTACAACTATAGCCGTAATTTTTCCTTTTAGTCGAACCATCATCTTCATCATTTTCATCATGACCTTCTACATAATCGGATACGTTTAATTTACTCCTTGGTTGAGAACGAGGTATAAATTTCTCTTTAAAATCATCTCTTGGCTGGAGTCTACATGCAATGGCAAATTAAAGACCTAACAAGTCTACAATAATGTAGATGGAGGAAAATTTCAATGATCTCTTATTGACAGGTTCTTCATAAAAGTCATCTGATTTTTCTTCTTTCACTTTGATCTATCACATACCATCTTCCTTTGTTCGCTCCACCTCACTGGGGCTCTTTGGTCCATTACCAACTGATGTAGACGCCAAAACTTGAAATTCATACTCTGTGTATTTTTTAAGCCCAGTGACATTTCTTCTCAATGTTGATCCACTATTGATAAGCAAGGTGGTCACTGACCCTGCTGAAGCTCTCTCTTTAAAAAACAATTTAAACCCTGTTATTATTCCATTTCTTGAAGCTAATGGTGGTAATTGCCAGGAAGCTGTAATAGTTGTAGAAGTGACAGCAGCTACAGTCAAGCTGCTTGGAGCTTGAGAAGGAACTGCAATTGAAAAACATAATAACTAGAATGTACCTGGTACTTTTCAACGGTCTATTGTGAGTAACATATCACTACCTAAGTCACCAGTGTCTCCTTATGGCTGCTGAAAGTTAAAGATAATGATGCCCAGAAGAAGACATGACCATGACCTGTATTTTCCAGTCACTGAAAGCCCTAATTCCCAGTCTAACGCTAGTAGCTGTACGACATCTTAGTCATAAAATGGTCCAGAGGAATTCCTATTGCATATTATATAACAACTCAGAATAGGATTCGTAGGAATCCAACCTTGCGCTTTTTAAATCAGCAATGGAATTGATGCCTAGGAAGTTTAAAATGTATAAATGGAAAAGGTCAGTTAACTTTTACGGGTTTTTAAAACAAGCCATCAATTCTCCTCCTTCATCTTGATCTAAATATCACATACCATCTTCCTTTGTTCTCTCTACCTCAACAGGGCTCTTTGCTCCATCACCATCAGATGTAAAAGCCAACACTTGAAATTCATATTCTGTGTACTTATCAAGCCCTGTAACACTTCTGCTCAATGTTGGTCCATTTCTTATAGTCAAGGTTATTGCTGACCCACCAGAACCTCTCTTTTTGTACAAAAGTTTAAACCCTGTAATGGTTCTTCCATGCCTGGAAAAGACTGGTGGTATCTGCCAGGAAGTTGTAATGCTGGTAGAAGTGCTTGCAGTCAGCTCGAAGGCAGAAGGAGGTTCTGATGGAACTGAAATACATGTAAACATCAACAGTTGCATGTTTTAATTTTTAGTTGATCATTGATAAGAGATCAATGTAAATCAAACATGGTTGTGAACTTAGAATGCATTAGATATTCCCCAGAGCAGTGTGGAGGAACATCGATCATGAGTATGGACTGTACATGCATTAGATACATGTATACTATATTTTTAAATACATGTTTTTTTAGAAGATGCCCTACAAAATATAGGAGACATACAATTAGGTTGCAATAGCAACCTACTTGGTTCCAGAATTTACAATGTACAATCATGATACAATCAGATTATATGCTGCATCGTATCAAGTATGAATAACAATATCTGAGCAAAACTTTACTTCATTTAGCAAAAAGGAGAACCTACACGATCTTAGCAGAGTAGAAGATATTTAAGGTTCAAAAGAAATTAAAGGTGATGATGGAGAATATTCAACTCACCTGATTG